CGCTGCCCAGGCGGGTCTCGAACCCGCGGGCTCAGGCAATCCACTCACCTCAGCCTCCCAAAGGCGCGGGATTACAGGCTGAGCCACCTGCTTTGTGTTCTTATCCAGTAGGCCATAGGCTATAGCCCCTAGCACTTGGCTGCTAAACAACTCTCATAGCCCTGCTTTGATGACCCTTGGCTCTTCTCACTCTTTCCTCATCAGAAGCAAATACCTGGTAGAGCTTTCTGTGTCTCCTGTCTCCACTTCCTTTCTTCCCCCACATTCCTCTGCCTGCTCCCATCTGGTTTTCTTCTTTGCATTTCACCAAAACGGCTGTTGCCAAGGTCCTCAGGGACTCCCCTGCCATTAAATCCAGCAGTTTTCCGTCCTCATCCTACTAGGTTCCACTTGTCCTGCATGAAATGGCCTCTCCCCTGGAACTCCATTTCCCCCTGCTTCCCCTGTAATTTTCTCACTCTGCTTTGTCAGCTTTTTGCCTTTTATCAGCTTTTAAATGTTGGTGCTCCCCTGGGCACCCCTTTTTCTCACTCCTTGTTCTCTTCCTGAGCAGTGTCTGCCATCTCCATGGCTCTGCTTCATATCTGTATGCTAATAACTCCTAAATGAATTCATTTGACCCAGGTCTAGGAGCGCCATGTTCATGTGTCCACCTGTCCACCTGTGTCTGCACTGAGGTGCTTCATGGGCCCTTTGCCCACCTCGTGCCCATTCCTGAACTCAGCACTGTCCTCCCTGACCTGGTTCTTTTTCCTTCTCTGCCTTGGTGATGGCACTGCCTTCACCCAGTGAAAAGACCTACTACTGGAAGTCAAGTCCAACCTCCCTTCTCCTCCGCATTCTTTCTACTTGTTATATTAAATCACTTTCAACCCCCACTGTTTCTCTCCATCCCCCCTGCAAGAAAGAGATCGGGCTATCATCATCTCCTCCCTGGACTAATGCAAATACTTTTCTAATCAATCTCCCCTTTTATCTATCTACCTTTTCCCCCCTCCAATCCATTTTCTATACTATAACTGATTAAAATTCCAATTACACTGTTCAGTTGGTTCCCACTTCTAGAGCCAAAGTCAAACTCCTCCATGTGGCCTGAGTGACTCTCGTGACCCCCCTGCCCTCCTCCTCAACGTACTCCCCTCCCTGATCCTCCCCAAACCATTGGGCCACCCCCTCTCACCTAGGGGCTGCGCACATGGGGATTCCTGGTTGCTGGTGCCTCCCGGCTTCTCCTGCCTATTTCTTTGAAACTCACCCTTGAGATTTTCATTCAAACATCACTTCCTCAAGGAAGCCTTTCCTACCTCTCAGACTCTTCCGAACCTTTGGAGCCCTCTGGGCTTCTGCGTCATGGCTCTAAACACACTTACAGTTTTAAGTCCAACCATACAATGACTTGTTCAGTGTCTGCCCCTGCCTCTAGAATACAGGCTCCAAGGGCTCAGAGACCAGGTCCGTCTCGCCCCCTGCTGTAGTTCCAGCTCCTAGCACAAGGGCCTCGCTCAAGGCCACCATTAAAATCTCTTGTTGAGTGAACTGGCCATAACGAAGAAATTTGTTTCTGAAACGTGGTGAAATAAAGGCACTGCAAACTCTTCTAGTGCTCATGCCTGGCATGCAAGTGTCTTTCTTGTCCATATGTTTAGACTTTCTCCTTTTCTTTTGAGGATGGAGAGCCACACTATCTGCTCCCCACCTCCCCCTCCCTGACACTGCCACCCAGAGTGCCATCACCACATTCTGCTTGTTCCTTCCCTGGGTGCCTTCTTTCCCCTCACGTCTTTCTCTTCACATGCCCTCTCGTGGACCTTTGAGCTTCCTCGCCTAATCATAAGCTTGGAGATAATGCCTGTAAGTCCTAGATGCCTGCTCCATTCTAGAACACCAGGAGAGAGAAAGGTGGCTTCAAAGGAAGCCACATGCAGTGGACTAGTGTTAGCACTGGTTGGAAATGCTAAGAAAGGGAGAAATGGCACACCTCTCGTCCAAGAAAAGAGCACACCTGTAGGTTTCTCTCCAATGCCACACTCACCATCTCATCTCCTCTGTCTCCTGCTTCCTCCCAGTTCCCAGCGGCCCTCCATCCACAACCATCTTGGCCTCCTCGAACAAAGTGAAGGGTGGTGATGACGTCAGTGTGCTCTGCACTGTCCTAGGGGAGCCTGACGTGGAGGTGGAATTCAGGTGGATCTTCCCAGGGCAGAAGGTGAGCACCACGTCTGGGTCTCAGCACCTGAGCCTCAGTCAGCTTTTTAGTTCACAGTCTTACACAACTCCCTGGGATATAGGCCATAATTTAGGAAGTGCAAGGAACGTGTGGAATTAATTGTTTTCTTCTGTTTCATTATATTTACAAATGTATTTATTTTTAAAGGACAGGGAGAAAAAGGATGATTGGGTTCCACTAGGTAATTTTCTCAATGTACCCTCTTTTTTTTTTTTTTTTTTTTTGAGTTGGAGTCTCACTCTGTTGCCCAGGCTGGAGTGTGGTGGCATGCTCATGGCCACCACAGCCTCGACCTACTGGGCTTAGTTGATCTTTCCACCTCAGCCTTCCAAGTAGCCGGAACTACAGACAAGCGCTACCATGCCCGGCTAATTTTTTGATTTATTGTGGAGATGAGGTCTCGCTGCCCAGGCGGGTCTCGA